AATCTATATACTATAATAAAATAGTTTATTCTTTTCTTAATGTGTCTACATAGACGGATTCTTGGATCCCATTTAAAGGTGTCCATAAGCTGCAGATCACACAAAATAAATATAATTAAATCTTTTTATTTATTTTTTTGTAAGTAATTTTTGCTTAATAAATTACATAATTTTAGATGACATTAAATCATGTTTTAGAATATGCACTACTGTTGCGAAAATAATATTTAGTGCTGAAACATGTAAAACTATATTTTATTTTTGACTAACGTATTTAAAGTATAGTTTGATTAGTAAAGCATTTTTACTGATGTAAACTTAAAAGTCTCAACAATAATAACTAATTATTTTTCGTGACATGCAAATTTATCATCTCGGTTACTTCAAATTTTAAACTCTAAATGAAGTTAAAAAGAATAAGGTAAACCATTAATCTTGAGATATTGTTATACGTATAAATAGCACGAGTTATATGCATTTTATTATCAATGTAATAAATATTAGATGTTGATTCGTGCTTTGAAAGCGCGGAATATATTTCGATGAAAATCTTATATTATCATATTTTTCTTTATTTTAGTTAGATATGAGTATAAAATCTGAGCCTGAAGTTCGAACTTAACCCAAACAAAAAACGCTCGGTACCCGATTCGAATGTAAGAAATACCATAATGAGTTTCGTAGAGTGGTACAAAACTTATCTGAACCCGAAACATTATTAACTAAATCCGAACAGATAACCTGGAAAAAAAAACTGGAAACCCAAAAAACCCGATCCAAAAATCTAAATTAATCATATATATAAATATTTGAAACAAAAATATGTGCTTCAAATATTTAATTTTGATATTTATTTGAAATGGTATCTAAAAATAAATCTTTAAATTTGAAATTAGTACCTTAAGTATCTAGATAAGTATTTATTTCTTATGCTTTGCTTTTAAATTTTAGATTTAACTTCATATATCTTAACCGAACCAATACAACCTTTATCCGAACGATTTATGGTTACTAATGGGTTTTCAGATGTGATACGAATTCAAACGAAAACCGATGTGTTATATCTGAACCCGTATGTACTTGCGAATTTCTCAAATTGAAACCTAGAATGTGATATAAATTAGAACCGAAATTCAATATATCCAACCCGTATCCTAACATATACTTGAACTCTCAAACCTAACTTAAAGTGTGGTTTATGTTTGTTTAACAAGATAAATATTTAATAAATATTGGGCAATTCTCTAAAATAGCCATCTTTTAAGTTTTTATCACAAAATAGACCTCAACTATTAAAATGATCAAACTAGCACTTTTTATTTTGAAAATTTTAAATTTTCTTAATTTTTTTAAATTCGAAACCCTATCCCCAAAATCCCACTCCTCAACTCTAAACAAAAAATCTAGGATTAGTTAACCCAATGGGTATAAATGTATATTTAATAAAACATTTAACTGCTATTTTGGTCATTTTAATTGTTGAGCTCTATATTTGTACGAATATAAAATGAAAAAATTAAGTTAAAAGGGTTGGGGAAAGTTTTAACCCGGGTTTAGTGGGGAAATATTTTAACCAACAATGCTATAGAATTATAGGCAGAAAAAGCAGCTTTTTTTTTCTTTTTTTTTGACGATTTTTAGCAAGAATAAAACGTTACAAGTGAATTTGATACGGTTTTTGACAAGAATAAAACGTTACACGTCTAAAGACGTCACTTAGATCAAGAATATATGAGTTATATATGTGAAATAAAAATATTATATTTATTAATAAATATCATTCTTTGCTGAAAATTCGTAGAAATTATAAAGATATATTTGATAGCAAGCACCGGTCTGATACTTTTCTCGAACAATCTTTTTTAGATACCCATCATTGATTAAACCGACATTCCGTAGGAGGAACAGGAAACCTAGGCGGATCAGAACAATAATCGTACGTTATGTACTTCGCTCTCACATTCTTGAATGCTATAGTTTCATTTGCACTTAGCTTACTATATTGAACCGTGTTCCAATAGTAGGTTGGTGAACCACATGCTTCCGCGTTAATGTTCTGACCAGAAACGTGACAACCAGAAACAGAAAACCCTTGAAAGTTGGCTTTAAAAGGACCATATGACCAATTAATTTTGGCCTTGCCCCCGTCCGTTGCCCAACCCTCGCCGTTCCACAGACTAGACACCACTGTCATCGGCTTTGATGGATAGCCTACGCCNAAACCCTTGAAAGTTGGCTTTAAAAGGACCATATGACCAATTAATTTTGGCCTTGCCCCCGTCCGTTGCCCAACCCTCGCCGTTCCACAGACTAGACACCACTGTCATCGGCTTTGATGGATAGCCTACGCCATATTTTTTGTTGTTTTTGAATATCCGAATTGGAGTTTTGTCCACATAAAACCTATCATATCAGGAGGAACAAAAAAAAAAAATTATGATATCATCATGGTACTCGAAAGTATAATACTAAAATTTAGTAATATTGTAGTACTGCTAAAAACAAAATTTAATATTAGCTAATTAAATTTGCAATTTATTCGGTTCATGTTCTTGTTAGTAAACTTTAAAAGAAAAGATGTTGTACGCTTTTGTGATTGAGTATATTGAAATTTAGTCGTATATGTATTCAATTTTCTTCTATTCAGAATGGTTGGACACGCAATAATTTTGTGAAAAAATTAAACACATAAAATAGAACAAAGGGAGAGAGAGGGCCGGAGAAAACATACACAATATGATACGGATTCCAGAGAATCCCATAAGTGTGGAAATCTGTGGTTGGATCGAACCAAAGAACAACCTTTTGTTCTCTGTTTCCTTGACCATTGGTAAAGACATTTGTTTGAATTTGTATCGGTTTTCCATCTCTACTCCCCAGGAACTCGAAGTCTAGCTCGTCGTGGGTATCTCCCTTCGAAGTCAACTGAAACCAATACACAAATGTATAAAGAAACATATTCATAATGTTGAAAGTTCAAATTAATGTAATGAAAAAGCTAGACTAAAACGTGAACGTACATAAAACGCTGTCACAACTCCAGCAGAATCTTTTGAAGGCAACTTGATGCCCATTTCGAAGAATCCTGATCCGTATTTATCTTTAGACTCAAAAGCAGAACCTGTTTGTAATATAAATTCAGATATTAAATCATATTTTAACAACGTAAAGTATTTAAATAAGAAATCCCAATATATAGAATATAGACTGAAATCAATACTGAAATCACAACCACATCCTTTTACAAACGAACCTGAACTTTTGTCCAGGGAGAGCTGGACTTCTCTCCCTTGGTTGAGTTTCAAGACATTTCCCCAAACAACAACATAGTTTTCATCGAATGCCTGACCTCCAGGAACCGCGGCATCAACGGTAGCGATCAAGAACAGTACTAAAACAAAATCTAACATTGAAAATATATATTCTTTTTTACTCATTTGTTGATGTTGTTGAGTGTTACTTACAGAGGAGACATATCCACCTTTTTATATCCTCGGGGTATTGTAAGGGGGGGGGGTAATTAGAAGCTTAAATTGTCAACAAATTTGTTTTGGTCAACAGATGTTTATTTTGGTAAATAATATTTTAGTTCATGCACCCCAAATGGACACATTTATTTGAAACTTAACCATGATTTGATTTTTATTATTTTTATGACGGTTTTGTTCTTCCTGCACATGCATGTGAGACTCTCTCTTCTGACACTCTACATTACTCACAGCCATAAAATTGATAACTTCTCTTTCTCTTTCTTTCTATTCCATTTTTTTCTCATCCTCAAACTTTCTTATCATGTTAATGCACTCTATTTTTTGTGTGAAAAATATTGTTACGAAGAAAATCTATTACTATTTTACTACTATTCCTATGAATCTAAATTATTTTAATTATACCCCACACTGAGAAAATAAGCATTGAGGTATTTTTAAAATCGCCAAAAATGTTAGCAGTGGTGTTAAATGTTAACAAATACACATACCAACTAATATTAAATGTTAACATAGGTGTTAATTGTAAACAAATACACGTACCATATACTTCTGTAAATATATGGTAGTATATCATACAAGAAAATAGTAATACATGCATTCTAAATGTGAATTAAATTCATATAAAAATTTCTAACCTTCACCATCAATAGAATCACTATCATGAATTTCAGCGGTTTATATTTAATTTTCAACATCATAATAAATATCATGAATTGTTATCTTATGTATAATGCGTTCTACGATTATAGAGACAAATCAACAAATTCACTTTTCAAATAATTGTTTTGATGATTTATATTTAATTATTAATAATATAACTATTATATCTTAATATAAAGTTTTATAATACGAAAATATATTTTCAACATAACTACATAATACATAAGGATTATCTTATTTTACAAAAATATAAAATTATTAATATAAATTCGTTTTAGTTATATAATAAATATAATAATTATATATTTTCAACATAACTACATAATACATAAGAATTATCTAATTTTTAAAAAAATATAAAATTATTAATATAAATTTGTTTTAGTTATATAATAAATAGAATAATTTTTTATATCTTAATTTAAAATTTAAGTTTTATATATAAAATATATTTCAAGATAATAACATAATTCACAAGAATTATCTTATTTTCTAAAATATGACATATTCAAATAAATTCGTTATATTTATAAATAAATTATATATAAATATTAAAAATATGATAAATAAATTATATATAAATATTAAAAATATAATAAATAAAATATATATAAATATTAAAAATAAATAAAATTACCTAAACTTATGGTAAACATGACAATTTAGCAAACTTACTTCTCAAATAATAGTATAGATATATGCCGAAAAGACAAAAAAATATTAATGACAAATTTTTTTAATTATTTTAGTGGTGTATGATGGTAAATATTGTGCAAATCTAAGGGATAATTATGGATAACTCTGTTTTAATTAAGTAGATGGGCCTTTATGAGCTGAGGTAAACACAAAATGGATCTTCAGGCCCGAGTCGAATCCACACGTGTTGATCGCCTGGTCTTCTTCACAGTGATCGCTCGTCGTCGAAAAAAAACACCTACCGTCATTTTTTCCCAACGAGACAAGCCGAGGACCATTCGTATCAAAATCGAAACTTAGTTCGTTTTCTGCTGCTTGAATCTAATTTTTCTGAGAAACCCCCTTCCTGTGCTTAATTTTATCTCCATCAGTGTCTTCGTAGGTAACGCTTCTCTGTTTTTATCTCCCTTATCTTCAATGTGTAATCTCGGATTTACTTTTCCTTTCTTTCTGTAATTCCCTTTTAATGGATCTAAGATTTTCACCACTTGAGATGTATTCGTTGTCTGATTATGTCGTGTGTTCGTGTCTTAAATTGATTAATTTCTAAATTCTTCGGACATAGAATCTACTGTTATTTTAATTGTTTTTTTTTTGTTTGAATTAAACACTACCATTGTCTCGTCTCAGCTTCAGCAATGCAGGCATGAAAGAAAAGAACTCCTCCACCACCGCCTCTACACTTGGACGGATTCTAGCTATTTGTTCTAAGCAGGTTTTGTTCGAAATAGCTCTGTTTACAATGTCTTGAGGAATGTGTCCGTGTTATTGACTTAAAATTGAACTTTGTCACAAGGCCAAAGACTACGGGAGCTGTGTTGCATCTAAAGTCCACGAGATTGAAAAAGACTTGTGTTTAAAAGAGTTTCTTGCACTGAAGAGCTGTATGCAACATACGGTATAACGCAATTTTATATATCTAAACTTTGTCTTGATAATTTTATCTTTCATTAGTTTAGACTAATCTGTTCTAGTATTGTGTTTTTTTTTTCTTACAGATCCGAGGAAAGGGTTGAATCAAGATTACATCCTCCTTCTCTTTAGCGGCGTTTATCAGCACTGATTAACATGTACGCCCTTCTTTTTTTTCATTATTCATCTAGTGTAACGTTTCTCAGTGATATGTTTTTAATACAAGTTTAAGTGACTCAGTCCCATCATACGATGGGACATTTTGAATTACAATCTGGTTCTTTTTTGAAATTTGGACAACTAAAAGGTTAATTATTATGTCTAACAGGCCTTCAAGTTCACAGTCAAGTGTTGGCACTGGTGGTTTATCACATGCGTATATACAACATCCATCCCTACGTTGCAATGTTCCTGAATCCAGAGGGTTGTTCTATGATGATGCCAACAGATTGCTAATTTGTGTCACATCTGATCAGGTGTTTTTTAATAGTTTCCTCTGAAATGGTTTATTTGATTTTTTTTTTTTGTTTTGTTTAACGCATAATTGATATCTTTATTAAGCTTGTTGATCCATATCCCATTATCCTTGGCTGATTTCCTCTTTTTTTTTGGTTTAGGTCTTTTCATGGGAAACAGCTTCCTTTAATCCTGAGGTATCTCCTTCGGCTGATTCTATAAGTGAAGGGCCTATCCTCTCTGTCAGATTCTCTCTTGATAAAAAAGTGATAGCTGTCCAAAGATCTGACAGTGAAATCCAGTTTTTTCATCGAGAGACCAAGAAGACACTTACCCACAAGTGCAGGGCAGGATCAGAGAGCCTTCTTGGTTTCTTCTGGAGTGACTCTCCGTTATGTGATCTTGCTGTTGTAAAAACCAGGTGTGGGCTTTGCTTTATTCTCTGCATATCTCAACTACATAGAACGTCCTAAACTTAATTGTTCCTGTCTTCAGCTGTTCTCTTCTAAGATTTGCGAACATTTCTTTAATCATTTTGTCTCTCTAATTTATTTCCTCTAATAGAAGTTCTTTTTTCCCCTCTCTTTCCTGTGTCTCAGTGGCATGGACTTGTTTGCTTGTGACTCTGCGATGAATCTGCGTTTGGTGGAAACCAAGAAAGTGAATGTGAATTGGTACATCTATACACACGAATCTCGACTGGTTCTTCTTGCATCAGGGTTGCAGTGCAAGACAATTACTGGGTTTCAGGTATTACATAAAATTTATCATCAACTGTAACTAAATTGAATTTATAGATATTGTCCAACACATGTGTACAAAACCCCATGAAGAAAACACAAAGAATTATGAAATGTACTATATGAAATTTATAGATATTGGTCCTTATGATGTCTATGCTAGAGCTGTCAATGAGCTTTTATGATCGAGTTAAACACTTATTTAACTTATTGAATGTTATAGATATGAGTCTGATATCATTTTTTTTTTATGTCTCTACAGCTTTCCACTGCAGGAGTTGTTCGTTTACCGAAATTTGAGATGACCCTGGCTACAACTGAATCGAACAGCAAACCTATTATCTCCGCTGGAGATGTGCACTTAATTACTGTGTACGATTCTTCTATGTTTTTATTCTTCACCTATGAACTTGCTCGTTATTCATTACAGGATGTTGTTGGAGATTAATATTTACCTTTCTCTTTCAGCTATGGCCGAATATATTGTTTACAAGTGGACAGAGAAGCTATGCTGCTCCATACATACAGGTTCTACCGAGATGCAGTCGTTCAACAAGTAAGTTTGCTTTTCTCAGTGCAACTGCAAAACAACCTTATCTTGCGTTTCTGCTTTTCTGGGGATGGAATCATTCTTCAAAGTTATGTTCTTTCGTCACTCATTCAATTGACTCTTGTTTACAGGGTTCTTTGCCAATATACTCAAGCAAATTGTCAGTGAGCGTGGTTGACAACTTATTGCTTGTGCACCAAATCGATGCAAAGGTTGTTATCATCTATGACTTATTTGTGGATTCTCGAGCTCCCGTGTCTGCTCCTCTTCCTTTACTGTGGAGGGGTTACCAAGGCTCCGACACATCGTCTCAAGCTACTAACAAAGAAAATGAGGGCCCAGAAGCATCTACAAGCAATGAAAACATAGTCATGTATGAAGATGCATGGACCTTTCTGGTTCCTGACCTTATTCTGGATCAGACTAACAAGGTTCTGTGGAGGGTACATTTGGATCTTGAGGCAAGTTGGCTTTTCTTGATTTATCTACATGACAATTGCTTCTTCAATAATTTCGCAAATGTTCAGTATTTAACATGATTTTCTGCAGGCAATTTCCGCTAGCAGCTCAGACAGGACGTCTCTTCTAGAGCTCCTGCAGCGAAGGAAGCTGGAAGCAAATAAGGTCCCTAACTTTCTTTCGCTATGTGTTTTACGTAAGGGTTTAAACTAAGCAATTAAGCATATGATGAAGCATGGTTTTCGCAACAAACGTTTTTGTAACAAAACATAGACAATTGAAAAAAAAAACGTTGGTACTTTGAAATCAGGGTTTTGCATGGTTAGATAATGTTATATGCAAAGTGTATCCTAGTAAAAATCTTGTGCTCATTTCCATATATACTGGTTTGCAGAGGTTTTGTTAGTCTTTTCTCTACGATTACTGTCAATTTAGTGTCTCCAGGAAAGTTGGATCACGGAAAGTGTTTGTAGTTGTTAGTTGTGGTATTAAATCAACTAAACACGATTAGATTAATGAGTGCGTTTGTGTTAGGCCAAACAACTGTGCTTGGGGATATCAAGGGCTCTTATTCTGGAACGCAGACCAGCAACCCAGGTTACGCAGGCGATAGATGTACTGGTCACAGCATATTCCTACTCGGTTAAAGCTGGTATATACAAGGAATTAAAGAACGAAAAGACCACTGCAACTACTTCAACCAATGGTTCATCTCCTGGTAAAACCTACTGAATCTATTAGCCATGAATGCTCTAAAGAAGTTGCAATCTCTTAACACATCATGTACTCTTTTCAACGCTTGATTTCTCAAGATAACGAAAGACAAAGAGCATCTGGAAGCAGTATTAGTGAAGAAGAAGTTGAAATGGACCTACCATCTGGTTCTGCTGATGGGCAGCAAGAATCTCAGCTTTCGTCACCAGCCATTTCACCTGATGAGCTCTACAAGTTTGTGTTTGCTTCTGTGGAGGAAATGATGATTGATGAATCTGACTACCTAGTTGCTATCATAACTGAGTTCCTTCGCAGGTAAGATTAACTAAACTATTCATTATGTTTGTTTGTGATTACACATATAGAATCGAGAAGCTTGGTTTTGCGTTCATACCTTGATTCCCCTTTGTTGCAGTATAAGCGCAGAGAAACTCAAAGTTGATCTCAACATATATGTGATGACCCTCAGACTTTTAGCTCACAGTAAACGATTTGCAGAGCTGTCACTATTCGTCACAAACAAGGTTTGTCTTTAACTTCTTGTATGATCATAACACCTCGTCTATGGTTTCTTGTTCACAAAGTTTGGGTTACATCTCGATGCAGATAATCGAACCATCAAAGGAAGTAGCGCTCCAGCTTCTCGAGAGTGGTGGCCAAAACCTGCGGGTAAGGAAACTTGGGCTGGATATGTTGAGACAGCTCTCGTTGCACCACGAGTACATCTCCTCCCTTGTGCAAGATGGATACTATCTTGAAGCTCTGCGTTATGCTCAGAAGCGCAAGGTAACACACTTTCTTAACAGATCAAATTACATGTGGTGGCCATTTTGTTTGATTTGGTTCGGTTTAGTCCAACTAAAATATAGTTTTCCGGTTCGGTTTTGGATTAAAATTATCAGTTTCGCCTTGTTAATAAATACAGTATAATGTTTTAGTATTGCCTAAATGTGAATATGAAAATTTAATTTATTTCGGTTGGTTACATTAAATTCTGTTTCCGTTTTGAGTTTATTTGGTATGTTGCAAAATTGCAGGTGACGAGTGTGCGGTCATCGCTGTTTCTGGAAGCAGCATTCGCGTCGAATGATATGCAGCATCTGGCTGCAATTTTGAGAGTCTTGTCGGAAATGATTCCTGGATTTAAAGAAACTTCCGAGTATTACACATTCCATGGTCTTCTTAATGAGACCAGTTCCTCAGTTGCTGTTTGAGATAAAACTCCTTACCATGTTTTATGTTTTATAAAACCTAAATAATATTTGGTTTTCGTCTGGATCTTTATAAAGAGATGATGTTCTGGTTCCTTAAAATAACGATTAGTTTTCTTGTCAGAAACGAGAATCCTAACGTCAGTCTTCTTGTTTGGTTTCGGTAAAATATTTTTCCGCTCAAGTTTTTTTTTTTTTGAAATTTATGAGTAATTCAATTTTTAAAAGTTGATTTTGAGTTTTCTGTTCAACTATATCCTCAGTTTACATCTTTAACAAAATTTAAAAGTTTGGCTTTCATATCTCTAATCTAAACATAGCAAATTGATAAAACCATAATTAGATTCTGCTATGATTAAACAAAAATAAATTTGTGCAAACACTCTCCTCTACACACTGGTTGCTAAGTATTCAATTTGTCCAAAAGATGTGACTGAGACGCTTCAAATCTCTACTTTTCATTATTTTCCCATCAAGTCATCATCAACCATGTCTAGATCTAACCGTGTCCTATTTATCTCTGTAACACATATAGCCAGTATAATGCTCTCGACGATTTGATCTGCAAGTGTTCGTTTTTTAAATAGAAAACTGGCAAGAAATTAATTATGTGTGCTATAGCAATTTTTCTAATACAATAAAAACCCTTAACACATTCAGAAATTCATATGACCAGATGATAAAGCAGAGAAAACATGAATATAATCAAACAAATGTAGCATACAAATCCTATCGACTGTTTGTTTCCAAGTTTGTGAATCATTCATGAAACCTCCCAAACTTGATTTAACCAAACTAAATTCTAAAAATCATACAATGACAATGAAACTAAACATTGTATTCTCATAAGCAAAGACCACAACATAAAAAAAGTAGGTGAAAGGTAGTGACTCCAGCACAAAAGAAGTTACTTGATATGCAAGTAATAACTTTAGGAGATTCCTGACCTGCGTAGCTCCGCTTCCCCGTGTGCAAAGTGACATCTATCACCAAATGTACAGCTTCCTTTAGAGAATCTCTCACACATCTTCGTCTTGAAGTTGCTCCCTGGATGCGGTTTCCCTTCTGAACCAACCCCACCACCGCCGAGACCACCTGGTGGTGGTCTCCTAGCTGCCGAGTTAAACCTCCCAATCAGCTCCCTAACCATTACGCTCGCTTCGTTTATCTGCTCAAATGTTCCTTCAAGTTCAATGTTCTTCAGGTTCGGGTCTCTCTCGTGATCTTGAATCGTTAACTTTGCCCCTGTTTGACGACTTATCTGTTTAGAATTGACTCCACCTTTCCCAATGATTGCGCCTGCCAATGAAGCATCCACACTGATTTTTGCAGTAGCTGAGGCACCAAAGCTAGAGACATGGCCAGGACCAGAGTCTCCTCCTCTCCCTGAGAATCTCCCTCCACCACCAGATCCTTGCATGTTTCTTGAAACTTGAGGCATGGGTGGCGCCATGTTTGTCAGCTGTGCTACAGCATTGTACCCTCCGGGTACATAGTGCAAGAAATGGCAGTTATCTCCAAAAGGACAGCCAGAGGTGCTGCAACAAAAGCATAATAATTACATCAAAGAGTTTAAAATAAAAAACTAAATCGCCTTAAGATGACATGAGAGAACAAATGGTTAAAAGAAAGAGAACGTTAAAAAGGCGGTACGTTTAGTAGGAGAGAAGATACAAAGGGTTATGTTTTGCTTATCGATGAAGGACATGTTCACCAGTAATGATGTAAGAACCTTAGCCGACCATATATGACCATGACACAAACACAAATTCACTAATACGTTACCACCTACCAGAATACTACAGCAACTCTTACAGCTCATAGAAAAGACAAGTTTTGGGTTGATTGTGTATGTTTGAGTTAAATATTTCTAAATTATGACCCAGAGGCGCTTATCCGGTCCTAGTAAGAAGTATATTTTTAATATTGCAACTTTTTTTTTTTAATCTTGCTTAGCATGAACGGTTAAACGTACCTGTAAATGTAATAGCTACTAACCACTTCATTAGCAATTCAGCATAGAGTTTAACTTGCTAATTTTCAAGGATACACTTGCGGATGAAAATTTGAAGATTAATCCAGTTAAGAAAAAAGAGGATTAATAAGTAACCTGAAAAATTTAGTGCATGGCTTGGATTTGCTTCCTAAACCAGTTGATTCCATCTCTGTTTCAAAACATTTTAAGTGTTGTTTCTTTAGTTAAGACTTTTCTGAAGTTCAATAATATTTGATTTACACTCAATGAGTCATACATCTATATGAAATTTGAGACTTTAAAAAAAGATACAAAGCTGAATGATATTATGTAAGTTTTCTGGATTATTTAAAGATACCTCAATAACTAACAAAGGAAAAAGGCTAATTCAATCAGTAAACTTGCGTCCTAGTAAACCTCATGACTAACTTATTTTTGGGACAAAACCTCATGACTAACTAAAACAACATAAATAAACATACTTTTGCTAATTGGTAATAGTACGGAACTCAAATCGCAGAAATCAACACTAGGCAAAAGTCAATTGACCCCAAAGAATAATAATAATTATTATCCAAAATCAATAAAGATCACACATTTATCAGAGTTAGTGAAGCACTAGAAATTGAAAAGATTTGGTTTATAATTACAACAGGATTGTAAACAGACTCAAACACACAAGGGAAGATAGAGTGAAAAGAACTAACCTTGCTTAGACTTCTTAAACCCGCCGCCATTGAAGCCAGTATCAGGCCGTCCTCTCTTACGAGTATCCATGGAGGAATTACAGATCCGAAATCGAAACCCTTAGTATGTGTGTGTGGCTAGAGACCGAATCGTAGAAATCGAAATCGAAATCGGAATCGGAAATGGGAAGAAGATAAAAACAAATCTGAACCCTGAGGTGGTTGTCGCGATTCCGATTATTATTTTTAATTCGAAGCTTTAACCGGAGTCGGTCCAGTAAACAAACAATTAAGGTAAACCGGAATTGCAAAAAAAAAAAAAACACTTTCGTAGAAAGGAAAAAAAGAAAAAGAAAAGGAAGGTAAAAAAGGTGTCAACATCGCTTCCTGCGTTCATCTATTATTTGACAATTCAACAATCATCCTCTCCTCATCTTCTTCCCCTTCTCAACTCTCCGATGAACATCAAATCGCATCAATCATCATCTTCTTTCTCCCCCGATGGAATCTACTCAAACCCCGATTCTGTCAATCTCTACGAACTTTCTCCATCGTCTCCAGGTATGATGAATTAAACTCTAGGGGAGGAGGGGGCTAATCTTAATCCTTTACCTTCATGGGAGCTTCCATCGCTGTTTCCTTTCGTTTTTTTTTTATTACATGGTTCATTGCTCTATAGTTTTGATATTTCTACTTCTGTGGTATGATTTTAACTACTCCAGCAACCTGAATAGAGATTACAACGAAATCGGATGCAAACTGGTGTATCTTATCAAGTTTTGAGATGATTACGATTCAGCAAGCACCCATGAATCGAAGATGAATGCGAAAACAAAGGAGGGGGGCAAAACTGTTTTCTGTAAGTTACATATGGCCTTCCTCTGTTTGTTATAATGATTATTAGCTCTCCTAAGGCTGCTCTTAATACTTACAACACCTGCATATATACACCTGAGTTCTTTCTTCGAATCCTTTAGGACATTGAATGACATAGAAATTTGTTTTGATTCTGTAATGTGAATAATTGCATGTTTGGTTTGGTTCAAGGTTTTGCTTGAAGAAACCAATAAACTGTTTTGCACCCAGAAAAATCAAACAAACAAAGGAACATCAACTTTATGCATTTTGATGGCAGGTCTAATTATCCCTTTGGAGAGAAGTAGGCTCAGGTACATTTACATGGCTTAATCATTAGTCACAGGTTAAATTCTCTAAACCTCAAACATTGTTGTTGCTTACAAGCTTAATCCCTACCTCCTCCCAAGCCTTCTAACAAATTCTTTCATACATTTTTGGTAAAAACCGTAACTTAATTGAAGAAGAAGAAGAACAAGACTGGCTCCTTTCCATCTCCTGAGCTGCTGCTTAAAGAAAAAACAAAATACAAGAGTCCTTGGTGGGTTGATCATGACCAAACACCATCAGTTACTGACAGCTTTCCCATCATCCCTGTTGCATTGGATGGTGGTCATGCGAATACGGTGGGTCTCCATCTGGTGAGTTAGAGAAAGCAGTAAACCATTATAAGTCAAAATCATGTTTGCAATAGAGAAAGCACAGTCAAAAGTTCCAGAACAAGACCCATATTTTTAAGCTATTCATGTATTTACAGGCTAGAGAGTAGAGACTATTGTCTAAGTAAATCATGTGTAACATTTTTATTTGTGGGATTACTTTTGTAATTATCCTTGATATTATCATTGGAGCACAGAATTCAAAGGCAAATACAAGACTATTCTGAGATTGCAAACAAAAAGAAACATTGTTTTTGCTATTATTACCAATTTCACCATCAGATGTATCAGCAAGCCTTGCAATGGCAGCAATAAGCGCCTGTTCATGTTCCTGCATTACAACACAACTTTTTGTTATTTTCCTTAAAAACACTCGCAGTAGCCAGTAGTAAGGGTATTAGTCTCAAACCTTGAGCATTTTCTTGGCCTTATCAAGCTCAAAAGGATCAGGATGAGTAGAATCGAAAACTCTCTCCACCTAAACCAAAGCTTTGATGTTAGAACAGCCGTTGAGCTTTAATAGACACAACAGATAAAAAAAAACTAACCTCCTTCACAAGCAAGTCTGTGTTGAACAATTCAATATTATCACCACCACCGTTCTGATGTGTTGGTGGTGGTAAAAGTTCTCTTCTCGGTTGATGAATTCTTGGTCCTCTCCCTCTTCCAAAATGACTCTGGTTTCTTCGGTTGCCACGGATTGATCCACTTCCAGGTCCAGTGTTTAAGGCTACCCCACTATCTTCCCCATCCCACCTTATATCTTCCGGCGGAATCTATAATCAAAAGTAATGTCAGCTATTATCTCCTTGAGATCAACCCGTTCCCACGTTTCATTTACTGAAAAAAATATTCATGTAAAGCTTACTTCCTTGAGATCAACCCACTCCCACGTTTCATTTACTGCGTTTATATCATACACCAACGCATGCCGACCCTGTGTGAATTACAACAAGTCAATAAACTGCAGAACACTTGAACCAATGTTCAAATGTTAGTACCTCAACTGCATTGTACTGGGTTATAATTGCTTCATAAAAATGATTGTCTTCAGGCCATTTTGTCCACACTTTTCTTCCGACAAGTGCTTGAGCAGATTCATTTCCTGATATGCCACTGGACACGACACGGCTATTGAATGACCTATTTCCAGCTGGACCAATTGATGGATGATACTGCATTCATATTATCGATTAATTTATCAAAAGAAAACATAAAACATAGAGAGAGAGAGAGAGAGAGAGAGAGAGAGAGAGAGAGAGAGAGAGAGAGAGAGAGAGAACAGAAAAAACACACTTTCGACTAAAAACAGAAAACTTACAGATGGGAATGTCTTCTGTTTCTTTCGGGAAGCTGAGAAAGTTGGACTAGGAACAACATCAAACCCCTGATTCGTTGCATGTCTCGAAGGAACTTGGCTTCCACCTCCCTGTCTCCAATCTCTGATACAGTTCCAATGGTATAACATATTATAATAAAAGGAAAAGCATGATAAGTCACTAGTATGTGCAGATAAAAAATCTGACCTTATCCGTAGGATAGTATCGTCCTTATTGACCCTACTCAGAAGCTCTCGATGCTCGTCATCAGATACTCTCAATTCTTTACGCAACTCTGTTATCAAGCTTTCTTTATCCTAAATTGTAAAGCCAGTAGAATCCATAGATTTAGTCATGAGACTAACAGAGTAAACACATAGTAACCTAATCAACCCAAAAGGTGGAAGAGAGAGTACCCAAGAAATAGCATCAGACTGCGCTTTAAAAGCCCTTAAAACAGCAGTATAAGCTTCCTGCTCAAGTTGATGAATTTGCGCCTCCATATCACTATCTAGTTAGGTAGAAGATTAACTTTAAGGCCAACCCAACAGATAATTAAACAAGAAGAAAAAGGCTGCAGCAATATAAACAACATACCACAATGTTCCCCTTAACTCAATAAAGCTCAACACTTTTCTCCAAATCGTAAACCCTATCCTCAGTTAACCATTACCTAAACCCTCTTTTTTAAAAATTCCGTGCCTAAACCTAACTGCAACAGTATTTAAAACTTTCTCAAAACCCTAATTCGATAAATCACGAAAGCTATATACTTTCTCCAAACCCTAAAACCCTATCTCCTTTAACCATTCCCTAAGCTCTCTTTTTTAAAGTTCCGTGCCTAAAGCTATCTGTAACAGTATCCAATTATGCAGGACCCTCTCAATAAGCAGATTTAGCTAAGAGAAGGCTCTTAGTTGCTCGAACAAGATTCATTCAAATGTGGGGGGGAAATTGTTATACATACCTCTGATTTCAGAAGCTTGAAGGAAAACCCCACAAAGAGGGTTTATTGTTCTTCACAGATTCAGATACGAAACCCTAGAAAACTCGAAGCGGAAAACTTGACCCGCGAAAAGCAATTGGTGGGTTTTAGGGTTATCGGAAGGGGAAATTGGAGAAAAGGAAACGATTTTTTTGCTACCCCTCTTGAGAGAAATGATCCTTTAAGCGAAGGGCACAGAGAGCTACGGATCGATTTTCACCGGGGACTCGGATGGGGGATGGCGTCGGTATCGCCGAACAGTCGTTTTAAAGACGAAACGACGCGTTTTGTGAAAATAAAAACTTATAAGGCCCATTAAGAAGAGTAATTTCGGTCCATGTAGCCCAATATGATCTTCACTAACACCTCTCTTTTGATTTATTAGGTGTCTCAACTAGGAATTTGAATTGATTTATATTAAAATAACAAATATTATTATTCTGTTACAAAAAAAAAAAAACAAAAAAAAAAACAAAACAAATATTATTATTCAAAAAAAAATTAATAACATTTAAAATCTAGTATTATTGAACTTTTAATTTCATAAAACACCTTTGAATTCACTGTTATTGAACAAAATTAATAACAAAATTTAAGTTGAAGATTTTAAAATGGTTAAGACCATGACTAACCCTCCTAAGAGCGATTCTTATTTTTTCTTATATTTTAATTAAGAAAAATTAGAAACCGTCTATTAGATAAGAGATATAAGAATCGTATTTTAACCAAAAAAATGTTAAATCATGAGTTAAGAATCCAGGATAAAAGACTGGAGTTAATCATGTTCTAAGTGTTTTCAAAATATTTGGGAGGAAATTTTTAGTTATAAAAATAAAAATTCAAATCCCATAATTATAGATGATATTTTAGAGTGTTTTACGAAAATAACACCAACATTTTCAATTCTCCTACAATCATCTGTAAACTCATTAATAATCAAATCATTTAAAATTTCAGATTTTAGAGTGATTTTTTCCCTTATCAGACTCTGAACCTCTAAAATTTTAACACAATCACTGTCTCAAAATGTTGGTTTTCTAGATATTGGTGGGAATGTTAAAAAAATGGAAGCTCTTGTTTCACACCCATACTCTATTTTCTCTAGTAAACATTGGCTTATTGTTTCGTTTCAAGACCGAATGGCCTAAACATGAATAAACCTTATAAGGAAGAACCCAAAAAAATAAACAACCACTAGCGTTACGTTTTGCCGCAACATCCACCTCTTTTGCCACTCTCCTGCTCACTAGGAATAATAATCCTTGTCCCCTTTAAAAGACTTGAGTTTCCATCAGCATCATCATCATCATCAGCCGTTAATGATTTCTTGCTGATTATACGATAAATCTCAGTTAAGATAGTCAAAAACGCGGTCTCAACATTGGTAGCTTCGAGAGCAGATGTTTCCATGAAGAACAAGTTTTCTCTTTCTGCAAACTCTTGTGCATCTTCTGTTGGCACTGCTCTTAAGCTTCCGAGATCACATTTGTTTCCTATTAGCATAATCACTATGTTTTTGTCCGCATGTCCTCTTAATTCTTCAAGCCATTTAGCCATGTGATCAAATGATTGACGTTTGGTCATGTCGTAGACTAACATTGCCCCAACAGCTCCACGGTAGTATGCACTTGTCACCGCTCGGTATCTGTGAAAAGAGGAACGATAACAGTTTGATTTTATGTATGTTTGAGTAATAGCCTTAAAGAGAGTTATGATCAATCTCTAACATAGAATATATATTTGTCAAACCTCTCACATAGCCATGTTGCATTTGACATGACATATAAGAGTAGAATCATCTAAGTACTAGCTCATGATTGTCCAATAGAAGTTTAGACTAAAAAGTAGATGGGGAAACTTAATTTATGAATAATTACTAATACTGAATCAGTAGAGACTAAGGTTTATATGAATAACGCTGACATCTTACAATTAATCCAGAAGATTATAACCTAATTTCCATATATACTAACACTGAATCAAATATATAGTCTGATATTGTAAAACATGCTATTCCAACAATCACCAAACTAGTGTTTTTACAGACAATGAATAAATGTCATAACAACATTATAACATCCATGCATGCATTTCATGTTACTCTCTCAATGAATGATTTAAGATCATAACCAAAACGGAAGTAGTAGAAGTTAGCAAACCTTTCTTGACCAGCGGTATCCCAAATCTGAGCTTTGACGGTTTTGTTATCAATGACAAGCGTTTTAGTCTGGAACTCAACACCGATTGTAGCTTTAGAATCGACACTAAACTCGTTCCTAGCGAACCGAGCAAGCAGCTGAGTTTTACCAACCGCTGAATCGCCGATCAACACGACTTTGAATACGTAATCGATCTTTTGGTTGTAATCTCCATACAAGTTAGACATCGTTTGTTCTCACCTTCTTTTTGACAAATAAAAACAGATATAATACACACGCAGATAATTTTCCAGATCACGACGTGAAGAGTTTTGGATTAGTATTGCACGCATAATCTACCATGAACAGGACAAGAAACTTAGATCAAGATGGACGTAGGATGAGGAGGACAATGATTACATACGGTGGTTAGGCATTTTGATACGTAGACAAGGAGAAAGATTAACCCTAAAGCCAAGTTCATATTAACTTATTGCCCTAAGGTCACCGGTTCAATATTCTAACCGGCTGTCTTCATCAATCCCATTGTTACCGGGAAGCCGATTAACAAAACTCAAGCAAATCTTTATTTATTTATTTTTAAATATAAAATGGAAGCAGAGTGAATGAATATATATATATATATATATATATATATATATATATATATATATATATATATATATATATATATATATATATATATATATATATATATATATATATATATATATTTTCTTAATATTTGATTTGAAATCAGTAAAAAACAAATACAGTAAAACCTCTATAAATTAATAATAATGAGATTTTAAATTTTATTAATTTGTAAAGATATTAATTTACAAAATTTTATTTATTTAGATTTTTTAATTTAAGATATATTCTTCTTTTTTGGGCAACAAGATATATTTATTCTAAGATAAAAAAAATATTTGATTTTTATGTGTATACATTAATTATTAGTTTTTGAAATTTGACATTTATATTACTTATATTATATTATTGGTGTATATAATATATATTACATAGAAGTTAAATGTGATTTTAGATATATATTACCAAATCTCATCAAAATATGAAGTATTAAAAAATATAAAGATAATTTCAGTGAAAACATAAAACAAACGGGAGAATTTCATTTATACCACATTTCATGTACCATAATTCAGATTTACCTTCTTTTGGAAGACATTTTCATTAATACCTAGAACACTTATCAGTAAATGACATAATTACCCATAAGGAGCGAAGACCAGATCTATCCTATCTTAGGAAGGCCATCACCACCGTCGCCTGCTCCGGCCACGCCGCTGCTTCCGGCGGTTCAGAAGACACAATTCACCTCGACTCCCTCCTCGACCACAACCACACAGCTTCAATCACCGCCCTCTCCTTCTACACGCCCTCTTCCTTCTCCTTCCCTCGCAATCTACACGCCCTCTTCCTGATCAGGTACTCACTTTTCATTGTCTTTCTTCTTTGCTTGAGGACATGATTCTAATCTCTGTGTAATGGTGACTCTAGGTTGGTATGACAAAGACTGATGCTTGCTGAAATTAACCCTGACGTAGTACTTGAGGTATGTTTCCTATTTGATGTCTTAAATCATGGGGTGTAAGCATAGCTGATGCTAGTTTATAGGTTGTTTATATCCTATTTAAATAAAAAGATGTTTGCAATGGGTGTGTTTGATTTGAACTCAATTATTATTAAGTAGGAGGTCCTTGATGTATGTTTTTTGTTTCTTATGTTCTTTCGTGATATTTTATTTCTGTATGCTGAGTATTGTTAGTTTTACACCTGGAGAAGAGAATTCTATTTATGCGATATCTATTTTATTTTTCCTAGAGTTTCACAATGAACATAACAACAGTGCAAGGCTTTGAAACCTTCACGTCGAGCTTGAAGAACAAGTCATTCTGTCCTAACAAGGAGGGCAGTGGTGTGGATCTTGTTTTGAGTTGTGTCGATAATTATGAAGCAAGGATGGCTGTTAATCAGGGAGCTCTGATTTTTCACTCTAGAGATATGGCTTTCATTTTGTTACAAATTTCACATAGTTCTTACTTCACCTTCAAGCTTTTTAATATAATTCAATCACTCACAGCATTTGGTTATCCTTTGATGTATAGGCATGCAACGAGTTACGTCAGACATGGATGGAGTCAGGTAAATAGTATGAAAAGCTTATAATTCACCAATGCTGATGGTGACAAAGAATATGATATTTTGTGCAGGTGTTTCCGAAGATGTTGTTTCAGGTCACATACAGCTTCTGGTTCCTGGAGAAACTGCTTGTTTTGCTTGTTGCAGGTAAGAATCCAGTAAAGGAAGGAGAAAAAACTGACATCAGTTTTTTTACTCCATCGAAGAACACCAGTCCGGTCAGCAAATGCATTAACAGAGCAGTGACGCAAGTTTACAGCTCCAGAATCTTCAGAGCCCTGAAAATAATGAAGCTTAAAGTTAATCTAAACAGTTCAAACACAGCTCTCGATTACTTTCTTTATCACTGAGTTCTAGACAAAATGTGTAATTACCAGAAGTAGTCCATGAAAGTGATCATGATATACTAACTGCACATCTTTTCTTACCTGTTTCTCAGAATTTATAAATCTTTTATAGGGGATTATAACATTATTTATATGAACTTATAAATATAAACTTAAAGAAATTTGTCAACGTTTTTTTAAATAGACTTAATAAAATTGTTATAAGGACTAAAAATAATTTATAAGACTTTATAAAATCCAGAAAACTTATAAAATCATCTTATAGAATGTTGACAAAATTTTATGAAATAGATTTAGAAACTCTTATAAACCTTATAAAAGATTATATTGTTATAATCCCCTATAAAATCATTTTATAACGACTTATAAACTATTTATAAGGTTTAAAAGTCCATTATAAGTGTTTATAAATAATTTATAAGGGTTTATAACACATTAATAAGGTATCTACATTTATAAGAGTTAATATATAATATATATAAAAGTTTATATATCATTTATAAAGGTTTATAAGGGTTCATAAACTAATTTATGAAAGCTGATAAACTAATGTATAAGAGATTATATTTTGATTTACAAGAGTGTATAAATTGATTCATAAGGGTTGATAAACGGATTTATAATACTTTATAAAACTTCTACAGGAGTCTATAAGTTAATTATACATATTTATAAACTAATTTATAAAGCTTTTTAAATCACTTGATTTACAAGAGTGTATAAATTGATTCACAAGGGTTGATAAACTGATTTATAATACTTTATAAAACTTCTACATGAGTCTATAAGTTAATTATACATATTTATAAACTAATTTATAAAGCTTTGTAAATCACTTGAATCTAGCTTTTATAAACTCTTTTAAATGAAAACTCTTATAAATTGTTTTATGAAGATTATTAAACTCTTTTAATATTTTGTAGAAATCCTTATAAATAGATTTATAAACCTTATAAATAGATTTATAAACTCTTATAAATTGGTGATAAGTTCTTGTACATGGTTTTATAAACACTTATAAATAGTTTTATAAACCTTTATAAATTAGTTTATAAGTCTTTCTAATTTAGTTTATAATCATTGTATAAGTTATTTATCATAGTTTTTTGGTGCGAAAGCAATGAGCTTTCTTTATCTACTTACTTATAGTGGTAAGTGAATAATCATCTCAAGAAGAATTTGCCATATCTTTTTGTTGATACTGTTGTTTTAGCCAACAGTGATGGTTGAAAACTGATCAGATTTTTGTTTATAGAATGAGCTTTTATAATGGGTCTATAGGTGTTTACTGACTTTGGTGTATGGCTAGCTTAGTTATTCTTCGTCTTTTCCCTGTGGTAAAAACCATTTTTGAAGTTCTTGTTCCATTGAAACGGAATTTGCTGAATCATTTGGCTTTTGTCAAAAATGCAGGAGTCATAAAAAGCAAGTCTTCTGAATCAAAATTCAAACACACGCATATTCACCCCCTTACACCCCCAAGCAGTATCCTCCAATTGTCTAGAAACCTTCGAAGGGAAACACCAAATCTGATGACAAACTTTTAAATCTTTTGTGGTCTTTGTGTCGTTGTGATTGTGTTTTTCTTCTTTTTGTTTCCATGTAAATCTTGAAATTAGCAATCTATATATAGAAAGTTTTGTCCTTTTGACAGAACTTCCACTTGTTATATGTATACCTGTGCCGTTCCTTGATGTTTCTGTTCTTTTGACATAAGCAAATGGTGTTGGTATGTAATAGGAGGGAAAGGTGGGAACTCAATAGTGTTGGTGGTAGCTATTGTTGTGCCTATTATAGTCGCTGTTCTGCTTTTCATAGCTGGTTATTGTTTCCTTGCAAAGAGGGCAAAGAAGATTTACCACACAACATCTGCATTTGATGGTAAATATTTCTAAGTGTCAACAGTCCTTTTTGGGTTTGATTTTTTATTAGTTTCAATCCCTAGCTCTTAAAATTTGCATTGTTGAACAGGAGATGATATAACAACAGCAGAGTCGCTGCAGCTTGATTACCTGTGCCTAGGCAACCAGGTCTTTGCTTTCCAAGTAGACCGGAAAAAGAAAAAGATCTGCTTGATTCAGCCCAATATACAACAACCCAATCTCTCGTAGGGTCTATTGATGATGCCTTGATCACATATGTGTATCCTCGTTGAAGACGAACGTGTACCGTCATGCCTGGTCTCTAAATCAATTAGTTTTGAAAATACGATGTATTGTAACTATTTGTATTGTTATTATAGCCTCAAGCATATATGAGTTGTCTAATATGCGATAATGATGAGGATGATGGCAACTCTTGTTTAATCAAGTCTATATGGTCAAGGTAGATGTCAGAAAAACCTGAATCATGTTTTAGTTGTTACTTCCCATTGCAAGCCCTGTCAGGAAGGAGATAATCGATTGTATGATAATTTATAACGGTTTATAAGGTATGTAGATAATTTATAAATGTTTATAAAAACAATTTATAAAGATTATATACATTTATAAAGGTTTATAAAACATTTTATAAAGATATTTAAAATTATTTGTAAGTCTATACCATTTATAAAGGCTTATAAAACAAATTATTAAATCTATAAACCATTTATAAATGTTTATAAGAAAATTATCAAAAGCTTATAAATAATGTTTTTTTTTTTTTATGCAGAGCCGGTCTCTTGAAGGATGTCAGAACAAGGAAAAACTTATAATGACACCTAAATAATGGTTTGTATGATAATTTATAAGGGTTTATAAGGATATGTAGATAATTTATAAATGTTTATAAAAAACAATTTATAAAGATTATACAACTTTATAAAGGTTTATAAATTTTTTTTATAAAGATATGTAAAACTATTTGTAAGTCCATACCATTTATAAAGGCTTATAAAACAAGTTATTAAATTATTTGGATTATTTGTGTTTGCAAGAACGGAACATCTATAATGATTAATAAAACTATTTACGTGTGTTTATATGAGTTTATAAAACCTTGTATGAACCGTTTAAGAAGTTGATAAAAGACTTATAAATATTTATAAACTATTTATAAAGGTTTATAAAACTATTTATAAGGGTTTATAAAACTATTTATAAGAGTTTATATGTCCATACTATTTATAAAGGTTTATAAAACTATTTATAAGGGTTTATAAAAACATTTATTAAGTATATAATATTATAAGAGTTAATATATTATATATAAAAGCTTATATGTTATTTATAAAGGTTTATAAGGGTTCAGAAAACTGATTTATGAAATCTTATAAACTGATTTATAAGATATTTTATTTTGATTTACAAGAATGTATGAACTGATTTATAAGGTAGTTTTCTTAACACTACTCCCACTAGCACTTCTTGAATTCAACTGTCTGCTAGCAACCTGTGAATTGATTTTGCGCTTGACATCATACTAACTCTGTTTCTCCTTGTCATCTGTTATAATATTATTTATAAGCCATTTATAATTAGTTATATTTTTTTATAAATAAGCTTATAAGCCTTTCTAAATTAGTTTATAAACATTGTATAAGTCATTTATAATCATAGATTTTATATAGAATCTATAAGGTTTTATAAATTAATTATAAGGTTTTATATAGGCTAATAAGGGTTTATATGTTTATAAAAAGTTTATATAAGATTATATGGCTTTATAAAATGTTTATAATGGGGTATGAAGAATTTGTATAAAGGCTTTATAAGAATTTATAAAAAGTTCATAAATAGTTTAGAGGCTCTTCTACTTGTAGATAATCAAATCCGAGAAAATTCACTTGTTATATAGCGTATGCAAATTTCAAAAACAATAAAAAAGACAAAAACTGATCACCAAGAAAATGTAAATACATTTGTTTGGTAGATCACAATTTTGTTTACTGTGGTACAGTTTTGTAGTAAAAGAAAAAAGAAAAGAAAAAAAGAAAAGAAAAAAAAGTGTAATTACGTGAACAGGGTAAAGAGCATCAAACCCAAAATAAGTACGTGCAGCGCACAATTAATGGGACCGGTTCTACTTCCGTAGAGAGGAAGCAAACTCCCTGAAGTTTTTTTTAATCATAAGCTAGAGCAAGCATTAAGCCAGTGGTACATAGGCTCACACCTGAACCATGTCATTTGCCTTTTTGCAAAGTTCCTGCACATCAATCAACCAAACAAGCTGAATATGAATTCGTGGGCAGAAGCTTATATGTAGAGGGAATCACCTGGATACTTGCTGAAATTTGTTCAAAAAACTATAAAATTCTCCAGGGGAGCTTACACCTCCTTGTCGCCGACATTTCAGAGGCAAGACCATGAAGAAGTAGAGTAAAATCAGAGTCACTGACCAAAAGCTACATGCCAGAGGCAAGACCATGAAGAAGTAGAGTAAAATCAGAGTCACTGACCAAAAGCACAAGTGTAGACTTTATTACAGGATTCTTTACTATGTTCATACCTGCGTCCATCCAAATAGCATAAGCGATCTAAGTAACGAGCAGCAACTCATGATCCTTTTTAGTTCTTCTTCTGTTACTTTTATACACCACGAGAGGTCCAAATAATGCAACCTCTTACAATATTTAGCGAGCAAAATAGCAGTTTCTTTACCAACCTGTTAATCAAACACAAACATACACAACAACACAACTCTTTTAATCACTTGGAAGAAACCAGCTTATATAAAGAGGATGAGACTTTTATGTACTAAACACACACTCACTTCTCTGACATTGTTTAGGCAGAGGTTGTTAAGAGAACCACCACAAACTTCAAGAAACACGGCTACACCTTCATCACTGACAAAGACAGGACATAGATTGGTATTAACAACAATAGACAGAAATTATGTTAAAAAAGAAAACAAATGGTGAGACTTGAGCAAACCTGAATCGGTTTCTTGTAAATTTGACTGAGTTCAAAGATCTGCAACCATCTGTAATCTCTTTTAGTGAAGCACCCGTCAAATTATCCAACTCTGAGAGGTCAAGAGCTTCCAGGTTAGGAAAATATCTCCCAACAGTCCAAAGAGTTCCATCATTCACCCCTCTTATCACCATAAAGAAAACTCAAAAAAACATTAGTTCAAGTAGACAAAAAAACCATCCAACTAGTTCCATGATTCAAACTTACATGCAAGAAGCTAGAGAAAGATCAGTGAGACTAGACCCATGAGAAGTACAGAACCCAACAACAACATCATGAATCCCTTCAAGTCCAGCAACCGAGAGAAATAATCTCCGGTGTTACCATGTGTGATGCCAATGCCTGGTGAGCCACCATCGAAGAGGGCTTCGCATGCATTAATTATGGGTCATACTTCAACAAAATAGAGATCAAAATAAGTGTTTTATTCAACACTATATTCTCAAGTTTGAATCTTTAATTAAAAACTCAGACTTTATAATGGTATATAAAGCATATAACTCAATCATGAACGGAACAGGCACTAAGAAATCTAACTGCTAATTAACTGCTAATGGGGTGTTGTTTGCATCTGAGAAAGAAAAAAACAATACTGATAAGAAAGCACATGGATTTGAAGTTTCAAGAGCATGGATTTTAAAATATGCAATGATTAAGTCAACAAAAAAAACCATATCTTATGTACTAAACTGAAATTTTAAAGTCTTGAACCTTCTTAATATCAGGTCTAGGGTAAGGATCTCTGTGGACATGAGGCCATTCAACAGCATCTCTTGATACAACAGGGAAGTCACTTCCAATCCGATGTGATTCATCATCTTCTCTGTTCAGTTCATCCACACGACGGTCGAATTCCGGTTTCAGAGACTCGAGCTCATTGATTACAGACCGCAACTTCTGTAGTACAAAAAATATCCACATTTGAGAATAGCCGACACTAGAACAACACTTGGAAGGCTAAAAATAAAGATACCTGACCTTCCTGCTCCCAAGTCTGGCTTGTGGAAGCGATGCCTGGTAATCTTGATGGAAAGGAATGGTTTCAGAAATCAAACTGCGAGAGAAAGAACAAAACTTGTAGCTCTTCAATGGAAGAATATATGCAAAAGTCTCAAAAGTACACATACTAATATTTTTTCTCCTCACCTTGAATATCTAAGAAGCATAATATACAAATCAACAACATTCTTCTCTTCTCGGTATATGCTGGCCTGTGCAATATAGAACCCAATAAATCAATTAGCTGCTTTGAAAAAAAAGAGAATCATACAACTGTAACGCTTCACTACTACATATCTCTCTACTAGATTATTGTCTTCTTTTGTAACTAAAAGAGAGGTTCTGAGCCTATAGGCCCTTAAATTAACTTTCATATGAAGAGTATACCGGGCTCGAACTTTGATGTTTTAGATCTAGTTCTAAAGTTCTTAACCACTGTGACAACTCCTCGTTGGTTCTCTACAAGATCATTGGAACAAAACCTTACGGAACTTGGGACGATTAGGTTTACACGGAACGTAGAAATCAAATCACTGATCCAATAAACTATCAAAATCTAATTGATAAGCTAATTGAGATGGAGATTCGAATCATCGGAGCAAACCTGACGGAGAAGATTATCGGCGATGCGGTAGTAGTTACGAAGAGGAATACGGTTATCGACCTCGATCTTACGAGCCACCTTATTCAGATCAATCTTCATCTTCACCTGTATCTGATGATTTCAGTCACTTCTCCGGCTAAAGGATCAAAGAAAGAACGCGTGAGGTAGAGAAGAATCAACTGTCTCGTTTTCGTTTTTCAAACAAATGTCGACATGATTACCTACGAAAATCAAAAGTCCGTCTAGCAAAACCGAGTTCGCCGGGGATCGTCGAGTTAATCGGAGATCGGCGAATCCCTTGGAGTTCTTCTTCTCATGACCGGAGAAGAAAAGAGATGGAGAATATGTTTGATTTATTAAGGGCTAGTATGGTCTTTTGCCTATCAAAATTTTAAGTGTAAAGTTGGTTAATGTAAAAGTGAAATATGGTATCATCAAAGTGCTAGTTTCAGCAATTTCCCAAAACAAACAGTATAATGATATGTTCTTTACTTATATAAAACTAGGTGTTTTGCCCGCACTTGCGGGCTTAATAATTTTACTAATATCTATAAACAAATATATAATCAATTTAAGTAAATTATAATAAATTATTGTGCATACACTCAAAACATTTAATAATAATCTAAACAGATTCTTTCTATATATAAAATTTTTCATCATCATATAAATAATTATCATTGCACAAATTAAATGTGAAGTTCTCATAAATTTAAAATATTTAAAAAGAAATTAATATGTTTTCTAGACATAACAAAAAGAAGTATAATAAAATTAACTTTAGTAATGTTTTGGATAACACAATATAAATTATCTATACATATATTCTTTGCAAATTAATTTTTTCATAATTAAATATATATTAACAAATATAATTATTTTTAAAGGTTAATAAAGACTTTATAACATAATATAAAAAAAGTTAGATAAGGATAATTATCAAATTCATGAAATTCGTTTTTAATTTAGAATTAATTATAGATTGACAAATATAATTATTTTTCAAGGTTGATAAACATAATAGAATTTTTTTTTTAAATAAGGATAATTATCAAATAAATGAAATTCGTTTTTAATTTATAATTAATTATATATTAACAAATATAATTATTTTTCAAGGTTAATAAAGACTTTATAACCCAATATAAAATAGTTTTAGATAAAGATAAATCTAAAATCAATTGAAATTCGTTTTTTATTTATGTTTAATTATATATTGATATTTTGAATTATTCATTAAGGGTATAAACGATATTAACCAGTCTAACTTTTAACGTGAGAGCTCCGTTGCGAAAAATCACTTCGCAAATAATAGTATAGATAGATATTAATATAGATAAATATAATAAATATATGACAAATCAGTAAAAATTATCTAAAATCATGTAAAAGTAGATAAATGAATAAATTATAATATTATTCATATAAATTCGTTTTTATATATAATAAATTATATATTAAATTATTGAACATATGACACATAAGCAATATTAGCTAAAATTATGGAGCATGTGACAACTAAGCAAATTTACTTCTTAAATAATAGTATTCGTTTTTTATTTATGTTTAATTATATATTGATATTTTGAATTATTCATTAAGGGTATAAACGATATTAACCAGTCTAACTTTTAACGTGAGAGCTCCGTTACGAAAAATCACTTCGCAAATAATAGTATAGATATTAATATAGATAAATATAATAAAAATATGACAAATCAGTAAAAATTATCTAAAATCATGTAAAAGTAGATAAATGAATAAATTATAATATTATTCATATAAATTCGTTTTTATATATAATAAATTATATATTAAATTATTGAACATATGACACATAAGCAATATTAGCTAAAATTATGGAGCATGTGACAACTAAGCAAATTTATTTCTTAAATAATAGTATCTCTATAATATTACTAGCTGACCGGCCCGCACCCTGTGCGAGCATAAGTATGTTCAAAAAATTATTATAATAGTGTATCGGTTTAGAAGTAACGGACGGTACATCATCATACTAACATGTTTTGGAGAAACCCTACACCATGGAAAAAAGTCGATACTCAATATTTGACATTATATGAGAGGGTATAAAATAACGCACATGGTGCGAGCAGTTATTGTGTGTATGTATAATTGTAAAGTCTCAAAATAATTAGTGTGTTTTACGAAAATATTTTCATTCGTCATCTAATGGATTTGCTAAGACTTCTTATAAATAGTGTACAGTTTTAGAAGTAACAGATTTTATATTATCCTTTGTAATTAGAATTGTATTGTATATATGTGATAACTATTACTTTCATTTACTCCATTCTTTGAAGTCTTCACCTTTTAATAAAAGTTAACTATTACTTTCATTTAGTTCATTCTTTGAAGTCTTCCACGACTCTGTAAAAAACAAATATTTCTCAATGAGGGAACATGTTACTCAACAATACAACATTAAATCAGACAAGTTACTTACTTTTGCCTCTCAAATCCAGAAGGGTACTATAATGAAGGTTACTCTAGAAATAGAATAATTTATTTTTGGAAAAATCGCATAAAAAACATTCGAGGTGGCAACCACTTACACTTTATACCCTGAGAGTATTTTACAAGCACTTTAAACACTCAAGTTGGCAACTTTAGCATATTAAACCTCTAATCTGGCTTACTTGTACATCAAGTTAAAAATGTGACCGGTACTGTTCAAAATCGATGGCGTGTCGGTTTGTGTTTTTTTTAAAAAAAAAAAATTATTTTACTAATAAATAAATATAAAAATACGGAAAATATAAAAATTCATTAAAAATAATTAAAAATTGAAAAAATCATAAAAAATCATAAACATTAAAAAAACACAAAATAATTAAAATTATATTCTGCTTTCAAGTTATTTAAAAATTAAAAACACACAAAAAAATTATTGAGTTTGCATGTAATTTCTTACTTATATAATGTTATAGATAATATAAAACTGAAACCAAAACCAAGCCAAAAATTATATTATACACGTATTTATTTACTTTTAGTCAAGTTAGGTGATTTAAGTATCATATTATAATACGGAATATAGTTGTAAGACGATATTTAAAAAAGGTAAATATAGTATGTGTCTTAGGTTAGAATTATAAAACTGATTGGTTTACTTGAATCGTGTGTGATTTGTTTACTTTAGTTGCCTTAGCTACTGGATATCTGGGGCCTTTGTTTGTTTCGTTAACACCATTTTAAACCGTTCATTAACAAAAGAACCAAGTGAAACACATAATGTTTCTGCTTTACCAAATAACCGATAATATGTAAAAACAGGGGAAAACATATCTTATATGTTTCTAAATTATTAGTGAGGACTACTTGTGAATTTATCGAGAAACATTTTGTTTATTGAAGACAACTTCATCTGCTGCTCCTGCACTCTTCTGGTGCGTTTGGTTTTTTATAGTTATAGTTTATTTCTTGGCCTAAGAAGTAATGATTTGTTTTTCTTTAAAAAAAAATTAATGAACCGAAATGTTAGAATTGAATTTGGTTGCGTTAAAAAATCTTCATTACGCATTACGTTTTTAGCAGTTTTTGTGTGTTTAAAATCTTCTTGAGATGATTAAAAAAACAGTTCTGTTTTTGAATATGTTAGTGGAGTAAGAGATCATGTATGTAAGTGCACACTGGTCTTGCCTTTGTGAAATCTATTTGTCAAACTTTAATAGTTTTCAATTAAAGAGAATAATATACCTTATTAGTATAAAATGCCTCTCTGCAAAATGTGGCGGAACTAATCCACAAACATTATTGCTTCGATTAAAGATTCTAGTACTGCTCAAGGTAGAGTTTTGTTGGCTTGAGATTATTTTAATATAATTCAAAAAGACTTTTATATGTTTTGTGTACTATCTTATATATACACACTGGAAACCAAACTCAAGGTCCTGATCCATATGAGGCCATTAGATAGAAGACAACAACCTACATAGGCTGTTTTAACACATTTATAGCAGTAGTCTGATCAGTAACCATTAACCAAGTTAAAAGGTCTATCTCCAAGTAGTTCTTCAAATTCAAGGAAGTAATCCTGAAAACTATATATTTTATTCTTAACATTAAAAAGAGGGGCACACCAACATAGATAATAAAACATGTCTCAGTTCTTACCAAAATGAATTTCAGATTAAAACCTGATCAATCTCGAGGAAGTAAGCAGCCTCACTAACACAATTTGTTGCCAACCAATGACGACATATCCGTACACAAGCTTCATAACAAATTATTGCAGCAGACCATGAAGGTTGTCCACTAACATATATTGGGAAAGAAGGAAGTGAGTGAGGAAAGGCAATGTTCCTGAAGCTCCAAACTCATCATTTCCTCTGGTCGGTAATGTTATGTATATGTAAAGGGTCACCCTCATTATAAGAAGATTTATCCTCCTGCACAACGGTGTATTTTGCTTCATGTAAACAAATTAATCATGTAAGAATAGCTTGGAGTTAACTAAAAACAGAACCATAATCGCCATGAGACCAGAGAGAAGAGAGAGAGAGAGCATGCACATGTGAAATTTCAGTGCTAGATACTGAGTCAGCCAAATGATTTTTTTGATCTGAACAATGAACCTTTGAACCTAAAAATCTGGCGTGGGTGTCTCATCATTCAAGGAATCAGAGCAGTTCCATCATATCAACTCAATAAATCAATGGCAACAAAATCAGAACACATGCTATGAGTTTAGATTCGGTTTCATACCTCCTTTAAACCTTTAACTCATGTACCTTTCATCGGCAAAATTCTTCAGCTGCTGCCTTTTTCTGGAAGTTACAAAACAAAACCAAATANAATCAGAACACATGCTATGAGTTTAGATTCGGTTTCATACCTCCTTTAAACCTTTAACTCATGTACCTTTCATCGGCAAAATTCTTCAGCTGCTGCCTTTTTCTGGAAGTTACAAAACAAAACCAAATATATTATTGTTGCTAGACAGATCAAAGAAACCAAAATATAAAAAAAAATTATTAAATGGACAATAAAACATGGGGCGTTTACTCAAATGACTCAAATTAGTCTACTAATTACTAGAATAACTCATAACTTTTTAAAATTACTAATTTTTTTTT